CGAGCTTGTGGTCGGCGATCAGGTGACCATCCACCGGCCTTGTAGTCCTGACCATAAAGGAGGAAGAGAGCTTCAATCACGTTGGGCTTCTCAAGTGTTGGAGCCTTTAAGGTCACCATCTGTCGTTGCTCTCGGGTCAGGCCGGCTCGTTTGAGCAAGTGCCAACCTTGGACCTGGCTGGGCAAGGTGATCTTGTGGCCGGTGATCTTGCGATAGGCCTCATCATGGTCGGTCACGAAGGACAGTAAGCTCTGCTGACTTTTCGCTGGAGGTTGGCGAAGTAGTTCTCGAAGTCATTCGGCAAGAGGACGCGATCGTCATACTCAAAGTTGCGGTCCAAGCGGGATAGGACCTTGCTGAAGGCATCTTCCTTCTCGCAATCCTCGACCGGGAAGTCCTCGAAGAGGCGCCAGACAACTCCGGTGAATGACCCGATGATGTTCAGCACGGCCTCCCCTCCTCGTTTGCTCAAAAGCATCTTCTTGTGGTAGAGACTCAGCCTTTTGCGGTATTCTTTGTACTCTGCAGGCTGGCCATTGAAGAGGGGGACATAGGAATCTCGAAGATTCTGAAACTCCGCCGATTGCGGATCTGCAGCCTGCGTCGGTGGCGGCATGGAGGAAGCACTCAACCAAAGAGCAACAGAGCGAGGTCAATCTCGTGCTCGGCTAAGTGTGGGTGACGTAGGGCTTAAGCAGGACCTCTAGCAAGTTCAAGCGAAGGTCGCTGGAGCCGGAGCTCCGCTACCAATGCAAATGTGGTAGTCGCGCTCGAAGTCGACCAGCAAACGAAAACAGCAACGGCGCGCGAGGCGCCGAACAGCGCAGCCCTTTTCCAAAGGGCGAATCCCACCCGCCTTGAGTGGGTCAGTTGCGGTCGGACGAAAATCCTGAGTCACCTGCGAACGCCTTAGGTTGAACAGCGTTCAACTTACAAAATATATATATATGTGTGTGTACTTGTATGATCGTTTCTTGGACATCTCGCTAAGTGACATACCCGAAGTCATAAGCACTTGAGAACACCCAGCAGAGCGGACACTGTTTGTGTATGTGTGTCCTTGTTTCATGGGGACCCGCCAGTGCAAGGGTTGCAGACCATGAAGAACTATTGGATTCACACGCAAAGCAGTTGTGTCACTTAGCGCATGCTTGCATGACCGTGTGTCATGGCTTCGTGATTCGGAAGGCTTCGATGGAAGATGTTGCATCACGTTTATGGATCCAAGGATGTTCGAGGACAAAAGCGAGTGAAGCTGTAAGTGCATGTCAAGGCAGCTCACACTGTACCGCAGGCTTTGCTCTATGCCAGCACTCATGCCGTCAATGGCTCACTGAGAAGAAGAACATGAGGAAAAAGAAATGTAATGATGAAAGATTATTGGAGTGGCGCAGGGAAATAGACGAGGCGGAGTAAGGGTATAAGGATGTACAAGGGATGTCCTGCTTTAAAGCGGCCTCCTTTAATCTGAGGACCTAGTTGAGACCTAGTCTCCCACTGCTCACTGAAATCCAAAAGGTGAGCATGGAATGTAACATGGAAGGCCTAAGGTTTGTTCGGGGAAGTCACGGGAAGTGCGCGCGTCAAAAGTGCTTCAGTTTTCAGTGCTTCAAACAGTTTGCACCCGCTGAGGCTATTTCTGTCGGTTTCAGAAACTATTTCTGGCGGGTTCAGAAGCTCATTTTGTCGGTTTGAGTAGCAATTCGTGCCGGGTTTGTGGGTTGGGGTGGTGGTTGGGGAGTAATAACGGTTGTTTCGATGTGCTTCGGAGATGATGTTACTCTTGGTCAGTTTCAGTTCTGTTTTGCTTCAACTGGAGCAGCGCTCTGTTTTGACCATATGAAAAAGGGTCTGCGGCGCATGGACAACTAGTGCCCTCATGCCTTCACGCCTCAAGACGTGACAAGACGTGAGTGCCATCTTTCATGCACTGCCAAAACTCAAAACGCTCTTCGCGTTCAAGCTCAAGAAACTTGTTGACCACTAAAGGCCATAGCCGTCCCACTCATCCTCCGTTTCTGAGGTAGCGCGGCGGATCTCATGGTCCCCTATGATGTCCCACTCATCAGGCGATGGCGGCTCAGCATGACGTTCCAAGGCCGGCGGCTCTGTTCGCACCGACGGGGGCTCATTGGCTTCAGCCAACGTGGAGAAGGCATTCGCTGCCTGGTGACCATGCAGGTCCTTCAGGAAGACCTGGTGGTAGATGATTCATGTCCATGCAAGCCAGCACGATCCTGCCCTTGTCACTGGAGTTGCCACGGGCATATCCATCGCGACGCACTGGTGCCACCATTGGTTGGTCACTTTGATGGCTTCCGTCACGGGCCATCGTCAACTCCGGTGGTGTGGAGTAGTACTTCGCCGTCGATGTAGGCAGTGTCGATGACAGAGTGCCGCTACCGCTTGGCTCACCTCCAGCGGCCACACTGGCAATGTAGCGAGGAAGGCCAGTGTCTGTGGTTCCAACTGTCAGCGACAACTCCAGCCTCGGCAAGTCCGGCGCTGGCCATTTCTCCAACTCCCTAGCTTGCCTCATCAGGTCATTTCGATGATACGGCCGACAGCCAACCTGAACAGTAGATAGGCTCACCTCCAGGGGGTGCATCCCAGTCCAGGTTTGATCTCGACAGTGCTTCAAGGGCTTCACGAAGACCATCAGGTGCATTCTCCCACCTCTCAGGAGGTGGCATGGGAGGTGGCTTCGCAATCCTTTTCGGGGCCTGTCCGGCCTTATTTGCAGGCCTGGTGGCGGTCTTTGGTGCCACAGCCGTGGGTGCCACTGCAGTCGAACCAATTGAAGCCCAAACTCCTGCAGCTGGTGCAGCCGAAGTCGAACTGGTCGAAGCTGAGGCTCCTGTTCTTGACATTGCCGCTTGCTCCATGCCCTCGCCCTTGCCGCTTCCTCAGCTCTCTTAGCCACCTATGGGGTGACATCTCTGGTATCGCAGCTTGCAGTGCGCTCGAACAATGAAGTTCTCCACAATCTGCCACCTGTCTTGCGATCCCACCGGAGGAACATTGAAGGGCGGATGCCACCACGGCTCTTCAGGGCGCGCTCTTGGAGGTGGCGCCCTCAACGCACATACCATGGGCTTCGCGGCCGGGCCACCACTTTGGGCGCCTTTTCGATGTCGGGAGCCTTTGTCGAGGCTACTCGTCGCTAGAGAGGACGGGGCCCTTCCCGATCTTTTTCTTTCTTCTTGCATTGCAGGTTCATTTGGGCCCTTGCAGTGGAACTCTTGAGGTCCTTTGAAGACCTCACCCGCCTTGCTGGTTTGTCTTCCCTATCCCATTTTGACTTGATCTTTCTCAAGGCAGAGGCTCCTGCCATCATGAGCAGCACTGCTACCACGTCAAGTGCCACAGTGTGCTTTTCTGATACTCTCAACTACTTAGGGTCTAGAATGGGTGTACCTTAGGGTATCAGGAGGCTAAGGTCTGACATGGTGGGACCGATCAAAGTAGGCCTTTTTCCTAATTCTAGACCCCTTATATATACGGGACAAGGAAACTATAGACATTTTACACTCCGACATTTACACTATAGGTTTATCACTTTAGACCTCGCGCCTGTTTTTT